AATTTTTTTTTTAGTATTTTGCAAACAGAGAGACAAGTAAATCATTAAACTGATTTAAAAAATAATATTAAAAAGAAACAAAAAATAATAAAAATGTGTATAATCAAAAACACTGCAGTGGACACTGCAAAGTCAGGACAGTGATTACCGCTCCATCTCAGTCAGAGAGTCACACACATATTCTACAACTCTAATGGCACCATCAGGACCATGCCATATTTTTTTCATTTAATTCTGCCTTTCAGAAGCTACAGAAGATACTGTTATGCTCATAAGTTTACATACCCCTAGCACAATATGCAATCATTTTAACAAAATAAGAGGGATCATAAACATTGCTTGCTATTTTTATTTAGTCCTGAATAAGCAATTTCACATAACAGATATTTACATATACTGCATTTATAAAAATGAAAACTGAATTTATAAATATGAAACAGAATTTATAAAAAATGAAAATGTGTTCTTTAAAAAAATGATCAAAAGTATACATTCACTTGTTTCTTAATACTGTGTGTCATTACCTGGATGATCCACAACTGTCTTTGTTTTGTGATAGTTTTTCATGAGTCCTTTGTTTGTCCTGGGCTGCAGGTTCTACGATCTACTTACACCGTGTCTACACTGGACGTGACAGTTGTCGTGTCGCGCCACGCTGCAATAGCTCAAATCTACACTGGACACGACCGTTGCAAATCGTTTGTACTTTGTGTCAGTAAGTCATAAATAGAATGAGGCATCAGTTTACTGTCAGGGATTTGTTGTTGTGTCGCGCCGCATCCAGAGTAGACAGCATCACTGATTATAATGGGTTCTACTGTCTTTTGTCGCGTCATGCCACTCGCATCCAGTGTAGACAGTGTTAGGCTTACAATGTTTTGGGAAAGGCAGCCCAGAGCAGTTCAACTTCCTGCTGTTCTTCAGGAAAATCCCCCAAGTCCCGCAAATGCTTTGGTTTCCGAGCATCTTCTGCATATTTGGCCCCTGTCCAACAATGACTTTAGATTTTGAGATCCATCTTTTTACCCTGAGGAAAACTGAAGGACTCGTACACAACTATTATAAAAGGTGAAAACAAGATGCTCCAGAAGAAAACACAATGCATTCAGAGCTGGGGGCGTAAACTTTTGAACAGGATGATTATGATGAGTAAATTTTTCTTGTTTTCTTGTTTAATATTTGTTCATTTAGTACTGCCCTTCAGAAGCTACATAAAATACTTATTTTAAACTTCTTTTCACAGAAGCCAAAATAAGGACAGTTCACCCTTATTATCCAATTCAAATAGTTTACACCCTACGGCTCTTGAGCATCAGTAAATGTGTTTACCTTTTGTAATAGTTGTGTATGAGTCCCTCAATTGTCCTCAGTGTGAAAAGATGGATCTGAAATCATACAGTCGCTGCTGGAAAGGGTTCAAATATGCAAAAGAATGCTGGAAAACCTGAGAAATGTGCAGGACCTAGAGGATCATTCTGAAGAACAGCGGGCATTTAATCTGCACAGGACAAACAAAGGACTCATGAAACACTATCACAAACCAAACATGAACCCCTACTGTATCCTTTTTTTAATCAGCTATAATTCTGACTTGCAGCCTAAACGTTAACATTATTTTGTTCAGTAACATTATGTATATTCTGCAATGTGATGTAAGATTTTGAACACAACCATATGTATGTGTGAAACAGTGAGTACCGCAGGCTAACTTCAGTGAAATATCATTACCCCTATCATCCCATGCCATTTTTTCTTATCGGATAAAAAGTTTATCCTACTCAGTTGTGCGCATACATTTTTTTAATGCGCATTTTTAGAATTTATGCGCATCTTGACGTTTCCATCCAGCGTTTTTTTTTTATGCGATATTCCACAATGCGCATAAAAATAGGTGGTTGGAAAAACAGCTACCGAGTTGGAAAAAGGATGAAAATGACTTGTAAACTCAATCAGGTGTAGCTAATCACCTTCTCAATGGCACACAAAGCCATTTGACTTTCAACTGTGATCAACTGTGGTCATTTTGATTACCTCAGCATAAAAAGAGCTTTCCTGGAGCGTTTTAATCCTTGGTAGTGCAACTGAAGCAAACAATCAACAAAGCACTGTCAAAAGATCTCCGGGATAAAGTTGTGGACCTACACAAGTCAGGAGAGTCAAAAAAATTCAAAGGCTTTATCAATGCCTAGAAGCACAGTGAAGTCTATTATTAAGAAGTGGAAGGTATTTGGTACAACACAGACCCTCGCTGGATCAGGACGTCGCTCCAAACTAGATGAAAGAGCCAGGAGGAAACTGGTCAGAGAGGCTCCCAAAACAATATCACAAATTCTCCAGAAATGTGGCTTGTATGGGAGGGATGCAAGAAAAAAGCCACTCCTCAAGAAAGGCCACATGCAGTCAAAACCCACCTTGAAGATTCAGAGTCAGATGAGACTAAAATTCATTTATTTGGCCTCAACTCCAAACGAAATATCTGGCGGAAATCCAATACAGCTCACCATCCAAATAACAGCATTCCTACAGTAAAGCATGGAGGTGATAATATCCTGTTATGGGGTGTTTCTCTGCAGCAGGGACTGGAGAAGTTGTCAGGATAGAAGGACACATGAATGGGGCAAAATACCATCAAATTCTTGAGAAAAATCTGCTGCCCTCTGCCAGACAGTTGTCAATTGGAAGAAGGTTTACCTTCCAACACGACAATGACCCAAAGCACACAGCAAAACTGAGCACACAGTGGTTGAAGGAGAAAAAGGTGAATG